CCCCACCCCCACCCCGGACCTGGAGCCACGCCTGTCCGCGCGCTCTGGGCGCGCCCGAGGGGCCCGTGAGCTGCGCAACCCCGCCCCTGCCGTCCTCGCGGGGCGGGGATGGAGAGCCGACTGTCAGTATTAGTCCGCGAGCCTGGGCGGAAGGCGGGGCGCGGGCTCCTCCCCGGCGGGTCCGCCTCGGGGCCTCTTGGTTCGCCGCGGGCTCTGCTACCGCCGGCTCGATCACCACGCTTGGTTTGCGGCCTCTCAGAGGCCTGGACTGTGGGCGCGGGCCTGCGGGCCGCTGGAGCCCAACCTGGGCCGCCCCACCCACCCTCCGGCCCGACCCGACCCGCGGCCCCAACTGAGATCTTTGTCAAGGGATCAGCACTTTTTCCTTTGCTCCCCTCCTATCTGGAGGCCTCCGTTTACTCTGCCAGGCGCCCCTGCTTCAGCGGGGGCCCCCCGTCGTCAGAGCCCGGGGCACTGGTGGTCCCGGCTGTGGGCGTTATAGCCCCGCCCCTCCCTGTCCCCTTTGTCTGTGGTGGACTGGCCACCGTTCTTAACCCCTGGGGTCTGGGGCCGGGCCTCGGCCACAGCGCCTGGCCCGGGGTGTGGGGGGCAGGAGGAGACCCGAGATCTCCCAGGCAGGTCCGAGAGGGATGTGTAGATTCATTCTCCTGTGGAGAACAGGTGGCCCCGAGATCAGGCCCTTTTTGCTCTTTGTATTTTATTTTGAAACTGTATTTAATGCTTTTATATGAACGGGGGAGGGGCGGGAAGAGCTGTCCCTGTCACCCCTATGTGCAAATGTCTTATTTATTATGCGTGTATCAGAGATAAGCTGTGAGGCCGTGGAGGAAGGACCTAAAGGAAGGAGTGAGGACTGAGGGGGTGGGGACAAAAGGACCCCAAGCAACCCACACTAATTTGTGAGGCCCCAGGTCTCTCCTCCAGTCTCTGCTCTTCACATAGCCAGGCTAATTCCTCTGGTCTTAAAGACTGAGAGTGGGGACGGCAGTGGGAGGGGCTTGAGGGCTGGGCCTGGAAGGAAAGAAGCCCTGGTCCCTGGGGTCAGTGGCTGACCATGTGGGTGGAAAGCAGAAAGCAGAGAGGAAACACTTCCTCTCAAATGAGAGTCCCCTCTTTCCCCCAGGCCAGAGCCCAAGGTTCAAGTGCCTCAGGCCCAGTCCCCTTGACACTTCCTGATTGGGAATTGGATTTTATATCACGAATTTTATAGCATTTTTATATAATTCAACTTGTCAGCTGGAAAGACCTTGGAGATCAACTAGAACCCAACCCCCTCCCTTTCACAAATGGGTAAAAATGGAGCCCAGAAACAGAAATGGTCACACAGCCAGATAGAAACAGAACCAAGGATTAGAATAGAAATCTCCACTCCCTATTCAGTGTTCTTTGCACTACACCACACTGCCTCCCATATCTGGTAGGCTGTAAAAATCTTCCGTTAGGCCTGCCTAAGGATGGCAAATGCCAGCTGTCACAGGCCCTCGCGCAGTAGTGCCCCTGAGGATGGCAGAGCCCCACCATACTTCCCAGTGAGGGCTCCACAGGGCAGCTCTTGAGCCACCATAGGCTCCCAATGCAGGGTGCAGACATCCATCAGAACCCTAGAAGAGGTCAGACACCCCGGCCCAAGGCTTCCTGAAGTAGAACAAGAACTCTGGCACTGTGTTCTTTTGGTTGTGGAGGCCACCCGGGATTCAGGAATGAATGCTGAGAAGTGAATTCCCAGCGTGTCTGAGACAGTATTGAAGTTTTGGAACGGGGATTGTGGCTGGCACCAAGCTGGGCACTGCCATTCTTTTATTTTCCTCCATGCATGTTTTCAGACCCAGAGTATTCTTCCACTTTTGCTATCCTGCCTGTTCAAAAGAAGTAGGTAAGTTGGGGCAACTGTCCTGGTCACCCACGCCCACTGTTAAGTTTAGGTAGGCCAGGGTAGAGGTGGGTTAGAAGTGGGCTTTCCCCTTGATGGGCAGGGAGAAGACTTTAGGCATGCAGGATGGAGGGCCTCATGAAAATGACAGCTGCGTGCATGCCAGTGGCTCTCCAAGTGTGGCTATCACTCTAGAAATCTAATAGGTCTGCAGCCCTAGCCCACAATCAGGAACTGGTGTGATAGGCCTGCCTGACCATGTTGATAGTCGGCCTTCAATCTTGAGGCTGAGTGCTAGGGTATGCCATCAGTGATTCTCCTCTGCAGCTGTGGCCTCCAGGTTAGGGGCTGGGACGGTCCCCATTCTAGGTGTGCCTCCTCCTTGCCTTGGGAGTCTGACACAAGCAGGTGAAGTTTCTTCATGAGTCTTTAGTTAATGGTATGCTTGCTATTATGGCCAATATGTAAATGTTACTCTGAAACATATTTATATACCATATTAGTGACATTATTCAAACATTTGTATGTGTATTTGTGAAATTGTTTGCATCTGTTATTTTAAAAATTTCAGCCTAAGTTTTCTAAGAGGTATGTTGAGTAAGTTTTTAAAATCCAGCCTAAGGGTCACGGCAGCCTTAGTCTTGGGGAGGTGACAAATTCTTTCAGTAAAGACTGTGGCTCCCACCCTCCATGGTGACTGGCTTCATCTCAGAGTGAGGGATCCACAGGGCGTATGTAGGCAGGGAACCCTTGCTGTAGGTTGGACAGCAGAGACCTCTGGCCCGTCATTCCTCCTTACCTTTTTCCTAAGGCCACATCTTAGAAGGCCTCTTCCTTTCATAAGCCAAATGCTTTGCTCTCCTATGGAAACTGCGATCTTGGGAATCATCACACCAGTATCAACTATTAGCCATTTTTTTAAAGCCTCAAAATGGAGTGGGGATGGGGGCTGGTGGAGCCCTTGTTTGGTTCTTACTTTGCTCAAATTGTGTATAAAGAATAAAGTTAGCAGAATGACACCACAGTCATTGTTTTTTATTTTTTTATTAATACCACATCAATATGCAGTTTTACAGGAACCAAGATTCAAGCTCCTTAGATACTATTGTATTTTTGTTGCACGTACATACACGCACAGTTTCATTAGTAATTTTTCACCTATAGGTTTTTCTTAAAAAAAAAAATACCATGTGGCACAAATATCTGTCCTATTATCTAAACATAGCAGTAACAAAACAAGCAAGCTAGGTGTAAAGGCTTCCAGTGCAGAAAAAGGTCCTTTGGAGGGAAACCCAAGACTGGACCAGGGCACTGACTTCCTGTATCAGGAGGGCAAAGGGGAGGGTGGAGAATGCTCTTCCTACTGTGACAGATCATCAGCTTGAAAATGCAGAAGGATAGGAGGGAAACAGAATGGACTAAGGCAAGGGTACCTCTTCCCTTAAGGAACCCCCCTCCTTCTAGCAGAACATCTCCGTCTACAGAGCTGCAGTGCTTGAGGATGGTAACATAGCCCTTACTCCAAAGTCACCTGTGATGTTCCCTGTGGGTTGTTACAAATCACAGCCTGAAGGAGCTCATGGATGACTTTTCTTTCAAGTTTACATAGTTTTCACGGTGGAAGGGGAGGAAGACACTTTCCACTTACATGGAAATGAGCCTCCCAGTAACTAACCAGCTTTTCTACGTGAGTTGTTCTGTCTTCATTGTGTGACCACTATGACCTGGCCCTGCAGGTAACCTTACCTAAGCTTCTTGGAAAACACCCTAAAAAGTTCACCTTGGGCCATGGGCAAAGTGCTAAGACATTTTATGAGCCCGAAAACAAAAGGAACCATCAAAACAACACAGCTGTAAGCTAGCCTCACAGTCTAAGTTCCAAAGGACCCACAAAACCTACCTCCCTAGACTGGCTGTGGTATCCTAACCGCAGGTACACATGCCTCCTTTCCAGCCAGCCGCCAGGCTTTGGTCCTTGGGGTAAAGCGATAGCACAGGTTAAAGATGGAGTGTGTAAAGGAGGAAGTTGTAGGGAAAAGAAAAAAAAAGGTCTTCTGTGTTGCAGTTCACCTCTGGAGAATGTTTCCCCTCTGCTTGGACTGAGACAGGATTACAAAAACTCGGTAACTGAGGCGCCCACATGCAGGTTTTTTTCTTTAACAAGTTTACAGCAGTGTACAGCAGTTACAGACATTTATTTCATAATAAGAAAAGTACAACCATATTTATTAACCTTGAGGGGAGATAGGTAGGGGGGAGGGAAGTAAGCACATTCTGGAATGAGTCCTTAAACTAACTCAGAACTGGTGTCCAAAAGAAACAACAGGAACGCCACCTTCCCAGTGGGGGAGTGCTGCTTCCCAGGGGCAGCTGGGAGGGAGCGCAGTCTCGGGGCCTGCTGACTCCTTTCCGGGGCCACTTTCTGCTTCCACGCTTGATTATCTGATGATATTCCGTGAACCAGGAGTTATCACTATCACCTACAAGTTATTCACAGAGTTGAAAGTTATATCACTAAGTAAAGAGGAATATTAGAACTAGCTGCTTACACTGTGGGGTAGGAAGACGACATCAGAAGGTAGCACAAAACCCCCCCAAAAACAAAAACTCACGGGAAGGAATTCCACTCTTGTCCCCAAGATCATTCATAAGTTAATCATTTCTTAACTTAAAAATTAGAGCAAAACTATGAAGGGAAGCTGTGTAAGGCAAGCCTTTGAAAACTGGAGAGAAGCACCCGAGGGATGCGATTTTTCTTTCCCTTTCTCCTTTACCCCCAACCCTTCCCCTTTCAAGCTACAAGCAAAAGCTCCACCACCACTGTGGTATTGGTTTATCCTATTAATTTGATTCTTTCTGCATTCTTTTGAGTTCTAAGATATCAGTTCTTTTTTTAGTCCAGCAATTCTTGTGCTTGATACTGAGAGAAAAGGGAAAGGAGGGGAGAAATACCAAATTAAAATAAAAAAGCTTGGAATACAGGCTCAAGCTGACACTGAGCAGTTCCTTCATAGGACAAGTAACAACATTATAACTATTAAATGGTGTTTTAGTAACTGTTGTGTTTCTCATTTCCATGTACTTATTCTGCCTTTTTTTTGGCGATTCCAGGGAGTTTTGCTTGAAGCCTATTGAGGAAAAAGAGAAAAAAAGGTAAAATGATACTTGTTTTGGATCTTTATCTTAGCAGTGATAGCAGCAGACAGCACTGGCTTTGCTGGAGCTCTGTGAAAACCTCCTCCCACTTCACAGATTTACTCTGGAGAGACAGAGACAGTGGCGAGTCCACCTGGGATGAGCCTAAGGATGCCACTGAGACCCATGTCCTCTCCCTATTCCTTGCACTGTCTGTTCTCTTTCACTGCCCAGAACCTTCTAGGTGTCTCATTGGGGGTCTAGAGAGCAAGGGTATCCGGATATGGTATCTGTTGACGGTGCTAGACACATTGCCAGTACCAGGGAATGCCAGGTCACCTGCTAGTGGCCCAAGCAGTGGCCAGATGTACAGGGACCAACAAACTTAGAAAAGGCCCAAACCATTAGAACCAATAGTTCCCAGGCCTTCACAGGACACCAAAACCGCTAGTTATTCTAGCTAACCCTTGCCAAAATCATTAGGGTTACCTAACCATCACTGAAATTATTCTTACCTTACAGCTAAAGTCAAAGCTACTCTCCAACAATGTTACTTCTCACAGCAGGGGCCTGTCAGTCAGCCAGGCTTACAGCCAAACTCTGACCACCCTTCACAACTGGGGTGAACAGCAATCAACCAGACTGACAAGAGAGACAGACAGATACACAGATACACACACAGACACACAGACACACACACACTGCATGCTGCTAACTGCTTGCTCCAATGCATAAAAAGCATAAAGGTAGGTGCAGATCCTGGCATCAAGCCAGAGCTGTTCGGACATAGCTACAATGTCCTTTTATCAAATCTGGAAAATGTACTAAAATACAGGTGTGTGGAAAGGGGCTAAGATTGAGGGGACATCCAAAAGGGATTTAATGTTTCTGATGTTTTGTTGTTAACATCTGAAGAAAGCTGGAAAAATGTTAACATTTTATTTGAAGTGTTAAGGTTTTAATGTTTACTATAAATAATACAAAATAAAAACAAAAATGGTTCCTTGACATAGATTCATTAAGTGTCTCAATATTTTATTACTTGACTATTAAACTGGTTTAAAACAGGAAAAGAAGGGTTTGGCAGTCTGAAAAAAGAGGCAGTGAAGAAGCCCAAGTCACTCATCTAGGACTTCTACTTTTGAAAGGAGAGGGGAAGAGTATGCCTTAAAACTGACATAGACAAAAGTAAATGAAGGTGGAAACTGCAGTCACTAACATTTAAAAGTTATTTCAAGTAGGATTTTAATCTACAACACAAAGGATGCTTTTTGAAGTAGCAGACTAAATGATTTCTAGTGAAATCAAATAACTGAATTGAGTCATGTTCTTTGGCATCAGCATTTATACAGGACTGAACATAACGGGGGGCATGTGTTATGGTGAAATGGGATCCATAAGGTCCATAAGTGTACTTACTTGTCAACAATCGACTTGGTCTGATCGCGCACGATGCCAACATAGTGATCAATCTGGGTCTTTAAGGAAGGAGAGCAAGTCAGTTATGGCAACATACAAGTGAACAAGGTTCCGGAAGGTAGTGTGCTTTTGTTTAATTTAACCATTTGAAAAAAACCCACTAAATGAAAATAATGCCTAGTTTTTAAAAGTATTTTTAAAAACTTAAATTTTTAGACTTCAAATTAATGCCACAAAATTTCCCAACTCTATTAAAAAGTAAAAACCACTTCTTTCTCTTGCAGAAGTTAAGTCCTACTTGCTGAGACTTTCCTTTAGAGACAGTTTTCTGAATATTGGGAACTGTGTGTCCAGTTTATATTCTATAATCACAAGTGTGTCACAGTTTTTGAGTTAAGACTAATTTTTATTTATTTATTTATGCATACAAGAACTAGAGTACAGGCCAGAGGTGCGATAGTGAGAGTACTCACCAGAGACAGAGTGGGAGCACAACAGGCAGATTGAATGAAATATACTGCCAAGGGGAGTGGCAGGCCAGACAGGAGAGGTTTGCTGTGTCATGTGGGTCAGCTCCCTGGCTGGGGACTGAACTCGTGTTTCAGTGGCTGTGGATAGCTTCACAGTATTACAACTTAATCCCTTGCGCCACTAGGGAAGGCCCTGTAAGACTAATTTTAACCAAAATGCCAAAAATAGGATGTCTTTGATGGGGGGTTAATCCATGGAGGATAGCTGGGGATCAAATTTGTTGTGTTGCAGTGGCTGGTGATAGTTTTACTTTAACCTTTAATCCCTGCCCCACCAAAGAGGCCCTTAAGTCCTTTTCTTAAAAAATGTGGTAAAACTCAAAAGGTACACCACAAGGTATAGAAAGTTAAGTGTCCTTACTAGCCTGATCTCTCCTAGACACTCTTTCTTGGAGGAAAGCACTGTTACCACTTAGCAAAATTAGATAGCAAAAATGGTTAGAACTAAAACTAGTCACATATCAGCTGACTTACTAGAACTGAAGCAGACAAGTGCTTACCTTGTACTTCTCATAGACAACTGGGACACTGAACACGAGCAGTTCAGCTGTAAGTGAACACAGGGCACAGCATGAGTGAATGCAGATGCCTCACAAAGTCTCAAACCTCAGAAAACACATATGAGAAATTCAGGTTGTAGTTCTCAATTTAAGAATAGCTATTTTCCTCGTAAAATATAAGGATATAGATCTTCAATTGGAACTCCTGGCTAAAATTTTCAACTAAAGGACAGTGAAATATAGCTAACAGGCTGCCTTCTTATATATACCATGAACAACAATTTCCAAATTATGAAACAGTTTCTACAAAAAAGATTCCATATTTAAAGGAAATCTAGACAACTCTCTTTTCTAGCTGGTTTAGTATTTCTTTGTAGTTAGGAACTTCTCATAGACCTGTGGCCATGAACACAGATTTCTCCACTATCAAGTCTGAGGTACCCAGAGATGTTAACGCTGGGCCACGTGGAAGGAAGAGTCATGCCAGGCACTCACTTTACTCTTACTCTGACAATTAGTTCAAAGAACATGGTAGAAATTCTCCTGCCACCTTACCAAGGATGAGAAGGGTGATTCCATTGAAAACTGCACCAACATAGGTCATCAGCCACATGAAGACAGCCAGCTGTGAAGGCCAACATCAGGGGGTAAAAGCAAGGGTCATCAGAACACAAAATCTGGGTTAACTGAATTCTCTTAATCTCATTCTCCACTAGCTAATTAAGACTGTGTAAATTTAGTGGTAATTTCAAAATGAAGGTTACCTGTACATTTGAGGGTGCACAGAGAATTCTGTTGTTCTCTTAGGCAAAAGACAGGTTATAACTGGATTTGTCAATTCATCATCACTGTTGTCATGTGATTTCTGAGTGTAAGAAATGCCTCCTCTATAGACTCCCATCCCATTTTGTAGGCTGACTGAGATAAGCATATTTTGTTTCTGTTTGATAAGACCCAGTCCTTCCTCTGACTAGGGGACCCAGGCCCTTGTTTTCCTTAGCCTTACCACCAAACCTTATAGAAGGGACTAACCTTCAAGGAGTCGACCAGATCTTCCACCAGAAAGAGACGAATAACAAGCTTCAGGGCCCTGTTGACATGCACCATGGCGGCATTAACGTAATTGTGGAAGGCTTCTGAGGACAAAGCGATGTCCACATCCAGGTATGCTCTTCCAGAAGAAGAAATAATAGTCATTTATTTCACATAGAAGAGATTTCTCCCTGTTAGCACAGCAGTTGTTTGCTGTATGATATTTTCCAAAGGTATGGTCAGAAATCTGGAGGGGCAGTTTTTTGCTTTAATGGAGTGGCAGCAGAGATGCCAGCTGTCTGAAAATTTGGGGTAGTCATGCCCAATAAAGAATTGTTCTAGGTCCTATGTCACTTTGACCACTTCACAGGATATTCATTTTGTTGAACCTGTTTAGGAGACCAGGAGACCAGGACATACAAGAACACGGTATTTCTCCCCACAATTTTGTTATGTCCTAAATTTCCTAAAACTGCATTCTTTTTTAAAAAGATCTAGTACAATGCTGAGGGGAGCAGCGGGCCAGGAGAGGTCTGCCGCGCCATATGAGTCAGGGATAGAACTCATGCTGAAGTGGCGTTAGCTTCCTAGTGCTGTGCTTTAACCTGCTGCACCATCAGGGAGGGCCGCCCTGCATTCTTTTAATGCTAAAACTTTACTAAGACTTCATTATTTTGGAAAAACTACAGCAGGAGATTATATGAATGTACAAATATGTGAATCCTTTATTATTCTGGGGGGAGCAAGATCATGTCCAAGCCATTCAATATTGACTGAATTACATTATTTTCTTATAAATGGCTATTTTATTATTCTTTTATTTATAGTTATGATCTATTTTTGAAATCATATTTACAGCTATATATACATTTCAGTATATACCATAATGAAGAAGATGGTGGTATATTGTTAAAAAACATAAAGGAGGGCCCTCCCTGGTGGTGCAGCGGGTTATAACACAGCACTAAGAAGCTACAGTCACTTCAGCATGAGTTCAAACTCTGCCCTGGAGGTGACCCACATGGTGCAGCAGACCTCTCCTGACCAGCCTGCTGCTCCCCTCAGCAGTGTACTTCGTTGATCTGCCTGTTCTGCTCCCCACTGTCTCTGGTGAATCCTCTCACGGCCCCTACACCTCTGGCCTGTACCCCAGTTCTGTATGTGCGCGCGCGCGCGCGCACGCACACGCACACGCGCACGCACACACACACAACCAAAGGAGGCAAGAAATACTGAGTGCTGTTTCAGATGCTTTGCTCTCCCTGCCCAGCTCAGGAATCCAGATGTTCCTCTTTGGTCTTAAAATGTGAACCTCCAGTTTGTTAAAAAGTTCTTGGCTCCCACCTTGGTCACTTTTTCTTTTTTTTTTAAGATTTATTTATTCATACAGAACTGGGATACAGGCCAGAGATGCAGGGGCGGTGAGAGGATTCACCAGAGACGGAGTGGGGAGCAGAACAGACAGACTGATAAAGTATACTGCTTAGGGGAGCAGTGGGCAAGACAGGAGTGGTCACCCCTGGGGCTGGGGATTGAATTTGCACTGAAGCAGCTGTAGCTCCTTGCAGTGCTGTGCTTTAACCCACTGTGCCACCAGGGAGGGCCGACCTTGGTCACTTGTTAAGGTGATCTTAAGGTTTCTAGCTGACGTCTCATGCCATGAATTGGTGCATTCTTGATTTTAAGTCAGGCCTTAGAGCTGCCTAGCCTCAAGGAACCCCTTCACCAAACTTTGGATGACTACTTGTGGTTAAGTTCAACTCACTTGAATGGATGGCCTTCTTCTGACTTTTGTACAGCCTGGATGACAGACTTGTAGACCCTGAAGCTGATGGTGACAGAAAGAAGAGCCAGGATGAGGTAAGAAACCACGCTGATGACACTGAATGCAGCCAGCGAAAGCAGCATGACCAGTGTGGTGCCAAAGACAAACCCAGTCTTCTTCACATCTCGCCAGAATATCAGGTCATGAACTGCCAAAAAAATAGGGTATGTGAGTTACAGGAACACCTATGAGCCACCAGGCCAAGACTGCCCCCTGGCTGTGCCCTGCCTACCTAAGGAGCATTAATTATCCCAGCATGCAAGTACAGGTACTTCCCACTTTCAAAGAACCTGATAATTGAAAATCAAATTCTGTTAAGGCTTCACTGCATTCAGTGCAACTCAAACCATTCATTTCAACTATAGTTCAGTGCCATTCACACTGCACATGGTTCCTCTGGTTTCTGGATAGGTTAGCAACAATTTAGAAAATTTAGTTTTTAGCGATGGCTACTGAAATAAAGTAACTTTAGTGGAAGTAAATACTATTAAAACTACTTCAGCAGAAAGGATGATATATAGCAAAATGAGACAAAATCTTAATGACTGTTGACTAAGTTAAACAAACAATGCCTACAAATTAGTTGAGTCAACAGACTACAAGCCAAAGCTGTAATGTATAAATCTGGGTGGGGCAGACCAGGCCTTGGTCATACATAACAAAACTCTGTTGTTTGTTAATCTGAAGAGAATGCAGGTCAGATCATAAGCAGGGGATTATGTAATTATCTAAACCATGATACTTTTTAAAACAAAACGGATGTTATTAATAACTATTTTAGGTAATATGTATAAACCAGGGCTGTCACAGGCAAATGAGCTTTATGGTTGGAGACCTCAAACTGGAAAAATTAAAATTCTCCTACTTAAAGATACCTCAAAAGCTGTGGGTAAAAGCTGCTAGAAATTACCTCTAGAAGACATTACTTTTGATTTTCAATCAATGAAGACTGACTTAATCTTTCCAAACCCACTTCTCATTTGTAAAATGGAAAAAGTGGCATCCATTTCCTTGAGTTGTTTTAAAAAGTAGGTAAAGTTAATATGTAGAATGCTTATTAGCATTGCAAATAACTCATATATTTTAACTATAATCAAAATATGGTGAGCCTGGAAGAATGTGCTTAAGTGTAAAATGAACGTGTATCTGATTCAAGTTGACCAACTGACACCTAGTTCTTCCCCATATTCGGTTTATAGACTCTTCCCTCTGAGCCCTAACCTTGCTAGCCTTGTTAGTTAAAGGAACTTAATTTGAAACTAAGAAAGCACTAAAGAAAGATATGTTGATTACAAGAAGACATTGTCATTGATTCACAGCTTCTGGCCAGGGAATGTGACTTACTAAAAAAGAGAAAACTGAGAGGTTCAGAGAGTGATTCCACAAAGGACAAAGAGAACTAGGAGGAAACTTCGGCTCATCTGTTGGAAAAAATCCCCGAAGAGAATGCTCTTTCTTACAAGAACCAACAATGAGCAAGAGAAGCCCTATTACTACAGGGCAGGGAGAGGGCACCCCAGGACCTCTAAACCTGCCCGCTTTAAATAGGTTCTACCATCCACTGTATCAAGACAAAACATCTGACCTTTCATGGAAAAGAACTATAATACAATTATAGGACAGAAAGGACAAAGAATATAGTTTCAAAATCAAGCACCTGAAGTTACCCATCTCCTCGTAGAAGTTCACCCAAAAAGGATTGCCCTAAAGCAAGACCTGAAAGCTGGGCACAAGTCTAAAGCACTTTTCAGAAGAGACTCATAGCAAAGCGTCAGAAATGGCCAGACAAGTCTGGGAGGAAAAGAGCAAAATCAAAATCAAGATAAAAGCTGCCACTGACATCGCTTTTCGGCCTTTTGGCCAAGATCAAGTGTAAAAGCTGCCACTGTCACCTCCCCACAGGTCTCTCACCCACATCTGTTTCATCCAGTCCAGGGCCAAGAAACAAAAGCTGCTTCTTCCTGAGTCTCCCTGCTCCCTGTGCCTCCTTAGGTCTCCTTCTGGCTCCCCATTCTACTTCCTTCCTCCTCAGCCTCCTTTCCAGATTCTTCTCCTTATTCAGCTCCACCTTCCTTTGGGTGGGGCAGGGAACCTGGAACCCCCCCTTTTCCTGGGGATGACCCTATTACACTATAATCAGAGTTCTCATGACTGCAAGAGTTTTGACATGGAATGCTTAAAGGATCAATGGTACTAGTAACGGAACAGTCTGACAAACACATGTCTCCTGATGAAATGCACTCCGAACACAACGTCACTTCTACAGTATCCTTGCCAAAGGCATAAACTGAATCAAATTAAGTCATATCAGAGAAACCCAGATTGAGAAAGTCTACAAAACAAATGACGTCTCAGAGTAAGGAAAACAAAAAACCTGAAAACATATACGTACATATATGTGTACACACGTGCACGCGCACACACACATGCGTGTGTGCACACAAAAGGTGATCAGACTTTAGCCACATAAGACTTTGGTGACACAACAGGTTAAAGCACAGCATTAAGAAGCTATCTGCAGCCACTTCAGCACAATTTCAATCCCCAGCCAGGGAAGTGACCCACATGGCGCAGCAGACCTCTCCTGTCTCGCCCACTGCGCCCCTCAACAGTGTATTTCAGCCTGCTTGTTCCACTCTGTCTCTGGTGATTCCTCTCACTGCCCCTGCACTTCTGGTCTGTATCCCAGCTCTGTATGCATAACTAAATAAATCTTAAAAAAAAAAAAGACATCATTAGGACAAACACTTGAAGATAGAACCATATAGCTAATAAAAGGGGCTATATCAATGTTGAATTACCTTAATTTCCTTTCCTAAACAAAATTCCTGCTTGAAGGAAACACACACTGAATTATTTAGGGGTAAAGAAGTGGCGGTGGGGAGCAGGGTGTTAGGGGAGAAAATGTATGTATACAGAGGGAGGAGTGATAAAGCAACCCGGCCAAATGTTAGTAACTGGTGAACTAGGGTGAAGGTTACATGCAAGTTTTTTGTACTATGCTTCCAATTCTTTAAATTTGAAATATTTGAGCCCAGAGAAAAAAAGGCCTTGATGTATCAGAAGGAAAAAACAAAGAACACATCAGCCTAAACGATGATCTACCTTTTGTGCAACTTAGAAAAAGCCACCCAGTCCTCTGGAGCTTTACTGCCATCTGCTGGAGAGCTGTCATAAGAAACAGTCAAACCCACAAACACCTGTGAATGTCGCCCCCTAGAGGTGTGCAGTATATAACCTGTGTAATACTACAGGATGCTCTGGACTTAGGTCTTAGAGTAAATGACAGAATTATGGTCTGGGTTAGAAGGGCCCTTTCAGATGAAAAGGAAGGTCAGTGAGAGAAAGCTAGGAACAGATGGCTCAAAACATCAAGCCGTGCTCTGTGGTGTACTCCCTCCACAACTCCGCGCGGTTCTGCTCCTTTATCTGCAGTAGGTTCTTTGTATCTTTTGTGAAATGCTTTAACACCAGTTCAGCAACTTAAAGATCAAGACACCACAACCATAACTTTGTTTTCTGAGAGGTATCCTCAAACCAGTCAAGGCGAGGGGACACACATACACTGTGTCCCAAGGAAGGTGGTGCTTGGCAATGTGTGGGAAGGGTCACAAAGCCCGCTGGGTGCTATGCAGGGGACCAGGGGAGAGTGGCATTGGTTAAGGGTGAGAGACTGGCAGAAGCTAGGACCAGCAAGATGAAGTGGTTGGATTTTACCTTAGGGGAAATGCAGCAAATCATTAAAGAAGGTAAAAGAAAGGCATAAAATGGTATATTTTAAAAAGAGGAACACTGCTACCATGTAGACAATGGATTTGGCTACAGAAGTGTGCAGACAGGAGACACCTGAGAAGGCTAGTAGCATGGGGGCTCAAATGAGGAAGGTGGCTAGTGAGATTCGGGTGCGGGCAGGCGGAATGCAGATAAGTGGATTGACTGAAGCTATATGTGACGGGAGAACAGGAAGAACTTAGTGATGGACTAGCTGTAGAAGGGGCTGGAATATGGATGACACCCAGTTTGGGTGTCTGAGGAAATGGACAGCTGTGGGTTGCCTACTGTGATGAGGGGGTAAAGGAAGAGCATGTCCGTTGAGGATGGAAGCCTACAGATATCCATTATTAAAGGCAGTTCAGTGTGGACACAGGATCAATCGAAGCTGGAGATCCGTATTTAGAAGTGGGTGTGGCCAGTGGTGTTGGAAGAGAAGAACGTCCAGACCAATATTTAGCAGCTAAGTGCAAGAATAGGTGGTGAAAGGAAACAGGGAAAAGACTAGGGAGGCAGGGAATAGTAAGCATGGTGTTAGAGGAGTTGAGAGAAGAATGCTTGGGGCCGGAGTGTGTGCAAACTACTTCTGCTAAATGAAAGTGATTGAATAAGAAAAAAGTGAATAAGAAGAAAGTGATTTTTGGATTTTGATTTGGCTGTTAAAACAGGGAAAGAACCAGTGACCTGACCAAGCTCTCTGTGGAATGACAGGGAAGCAAGCACTGGCAGGGAACTGGAAAGGAGTCAGCAGCAAGAAGTAGAGGCAGTGTGAGGCACAATGCCTAAGCAGCTTGGGGAGAGGAGTGGTTTTCAAAGATGGGAAACACGGAAGCCTATTTACATGCAGATACAAACAGGAAGAGAATGATGATGGGTGCAGAAGCACCCAGGCTAAAGGGGTGGGGGGCTTGAGAAGATCCAGCGCCCAGTGTATTATTACTCTCCATTGGGGTAACACAGTGAAGAGGCTGGAAAAAGAGGCCTACCCATAAATCTGAAAATTGGAAAAGGAGGGATCGCTTTCTGACTGCTTCTAATTCTCTCAATAAAAAGGAGCTGATATAGTTAGCTGGGATGGTGGACAAAGGGATGAAGATAGCTGATGGAGTGAGGAAAAGATTATGAAATGACTGTTTCAGAAAAATTAGAAAGTGCTTTAAAACTTTTATGAGAAAATACAGGAGTCAATCTTTGTGACCTTGGGTTATGCAAAGGTTTTTCAGATATGCTACCATATCTTGTGCATGCAAAGGAAAAGCTCCTGAGGAAATTATCTGAACAAGCCTTACTGCTGAAATGGAGAGATAGAAGATCACACTAGTCACAAATTTCCTTAGCCAAGGTGGAATGATAGCATGGTCCTGACTATGAAGGCTA